CAAATCAAATCAAAGTTTATTTATCAAATGCACAACAGTACAGGGTGCAGCAGTAGTTGCTGGCAATGAAATGTCTTTTCTGCGAGCTCACAAAAATCTCAAGAATCACAAAATTAAGGTTATAAAAATAAGGTTACATGATAATAGATAATAATGTAATAGAAATGGAATAAAACTCAATATGAGTAGAGCTGCCATGTGTACAGGGTGTATGCAATATACAGTATACAAGTAGGTCAGTATGCTGAATACAGTGAAACCTGTGTGTCCATGTATATGGGTGATTTGCTTAAGGAGCTGCAGGTTGGCTATTTAGCAGTCTTTTATTGCCTGGAGGTAGAAGCTGTTCCATAATTATGTTCTGTAACTACATAATTGTAGTTATGCAATAAATAAATGTATGCATTAAGGATTAAAAAACCAATACTGACAAAGTCAGTTTGGGGGTATGGTTTGTTATGTTATGGTTTAGAATAATTTAATTAGTTTCAAAAGTGTTACTTTTAAAAAAACCTCAGCCATCTAATCACTGTGACATATTTATTAATTTTCTAAACATAAAGTGAAATGATGAAAACATTTGAATGAAACCTAACCTGGAGTTCTTGGGTTTTACATAGTCTATAATCTGTTTCCCTAAATCTCGTACTTTGTGTAGATAACCACTCCTACGTCCCGCTCCTTAGGAAGAGGTGAAAAAATCCACCTTCCCTTGGCTCTGAGGAAACTGAGCAGGACTCGCAGTGGCTTCCACTGCTCGGCTAAAACACACCATCGTATTTTATTTTGTGTATCTTATTAAATAGCATTTTTGTCATTTTAATGACAAGGTAACACTTGTATTCTTGCAATTCTGCTAGGTAGGGTGCGTTTCTTATAGACACTTCTATGGAATGCCGTTGTAGCACACTGAAATGCCGGGCAGTTTTGTCTTTTTCTACCTACAGTATAAGCATTTTCTCGTTTTTTCTTAGATCAGCCAAGCACTAAAACGACGTTTTGGAAATACTGATTTCCTTTACAGAATACTTTGTATTTTTGTCAAACGAAGGTAAGTTTATTGTACTATTCGGCGAAATTGGACTGTTTTGTGTGGGAAGAGATGGGGGTGGTTCAAAGATTAATTTAAAGTGCGTACAGTAACGCCAGACGTCCCCTTCAAAATGCTAGGGACGGCTGAGAGATTTAGAAATGCATTTTAAATTGTGAGAAAGTGAAATTTAAACGGGGAGAAAGATAACAGGAACGTGTATTAGACTATGGGATCAGTTAGACTGAGGCCAGAGTGAAAACATTGAGCAAAAGCCGAGGTTTTCTCCTATACGAAATGTGTCTTGTTATGAATGTTCTTTGAATTTACTTTTAAGTAGCGGTGATAGTATTTTTCCAATATGTTACAACTGTCCTTGAACTCGAGATATTTTTTTTTTAATTTGAATGGTTACTGTAGCAGAGGAACATCTCAGAAATTAAAAGAAAAACAAATACCACTGCACCCAAAATGATACCAAATACCATCTCTCTTCACTAGGGTCTGCTGACAAGGCTGAAACCACGCTACCCAGGAGCTACAGGAAGAGGGACTCTTACTGGGACTGCTGAGCACAGCGTTCTTAAAGCAATATGGTTTTGGTCAGTCTCGTACTAAGCCACATGCTGGTGATGACTCTGGCCCAGGCGGAGAGGCTGTGTCACAACAGGGACTGCTCCAACCTGCAGTATCACTCACAGAGTGAGGTGAATCCCATCCTGTCTCCGCAGTCAGCGAAAGTAAGCATCTTTCCACGCTTGTGGCTGAGCAGAAGGTCTATTAAAATGGTTTACTGGTTTTAATGAGCACATTGCGTTCGTTTTATATGAAGTCACTGTTTTTATTTTCTCATTAATCAGCTGCACTCTTTGCTACAGATGTTAAAATTTGCTCCTGTATGCCCACAGACTGTGACAGCCCTTCTTCATCTTTTTAAAACATTTCTAAAGTCTGGGCTTCTCACAGTTGGTGTACATATTTGGAGAATGGCACACATTTTGACAGCTTATTTTCAAATAATTTTATTTACAGCAGGCAAAACAAATAAAAATACAAAGAATAAGCTCTCCCGCAAAAACATTGGGATGCCGTATTTAAGCAGGGTTTAAAGGGCTTTTAAGAGGCATTTGTTTGTATCTTTGACAATATTGGGAAAATATTTTGAAAATAAGAAAATAAAACAGCAAGATAACAGTTATGAAAGAAAGTTTTCTACCATAACTGTTATGTAACGTTCTGCACCATAATGTATTAATGTGCTCAGCTTATTTAGTAAGGTAAATGTTTTAAATTACTGCATAGTAGAAAGCTTTTATCATACAGTAGGTAAAACACACCTTGAAATCTATCATTTTCAAACTTGGTATTCGAACACCAGCTTTTTCTGAATCTTTGTAAAGGAGTTCACCTTAATGTCTGTATAGGAATAACCAGCTCTTAGGTCACATGTCTTCGTTACTGTTGATTGGGTTGATGACCATGATATTAGTAGGAGATTCGCTGAAAATGTGCCAGAGTTGAGTTTTCTGTTGAGGTATTATTCCTGTGCTCACTTTATTGGTATTTTTATTACGTTAAAAATATTTGCTTAATAGTTAAAAACTTTTAAACCATTAAAACATTTTTCGCTCTACTCTCTCGAAACGATATCATCATATTTCTGTCATTGTTTGAGCGAAGTTAAAGCCCTTCAATGAATCCTGCGTATGTATACCTTTCAGCAATTTCTTACAAGGTACGGTTGGATTAAGCCAGTGAATTGGGAATCTCTGCAACGCCACCGGGCTGCTGTGCCCCAGGAGGAAAGTCCTGATTCTCCCGAAAACCCACCCCAGGATGTCCCGGACAATTCGGGAAGCAGCAGCGCAGAGGACAGTGCTCCCACTGAAACGGTTCCGGAATCGAGTTTCCTCCAGGCCCTCGAGCACTTTCAGCAAGCTAACAATCTTCCTGTGACCGGGGCTCTTGATGAGCCCACGCAGAAAACTATGACTCGGCCACGCTGTGGAGTCCCTGATTACAAATCCCCACACGGCATCCAGGATCCAGAGGACACACCAAGAGCCAGGAGCAATTCTACAGTCAGTAACTCTAGCGCAGAGGCCGCGCCACACAATGATGGGTCCCCTACTGACGCCAGCAGCAGTGGCACCAGGGCTGGCAGGCCCCGGGAGAAGCGCTTCCTGCAGCAGCTGGTGGAGCGCTCACAGAAACAGCGCAGAAGTGTGGTGTACGTTCGCAGCAGCGACTGGGGGATGGGGTTCTCCAAACGGGCTCTGAAGTGGAGGCTCCTGGGAGAAGGCTATAGTTCCTGGCTGCCCATCGAGGACCAGAGGAAGATTCTGAAGCGGGCGTTCCGACTGTGGAGCGAGGTGATACCCCTGAACTTCCAGGAAGACCTGACCTCTCGCGCCAGTGAGATAGATGTCAAGCTTGGTTTCGGAACCAGTAAGTACATTTAAAGAGATTCCTGCCGGTATTGTAATCTGACTGGATTTCACAGGTATGGAGGGGATTCTTTGAAGAATAATGATAGTCACACTGTGTAGTTACTCAACTAGAGGGGCAGGTTTCTCTCAGAAACCTCTTGCCTTGTCTTATTTTGTGGAACATTTGTCTCTAATGCATGCTGGGGAGGAGAGCAGCTTCCATACATGATCTGCAAAGAGACAAGAAAAGCTTGATTGCTGTAGTCACTGAAAAGTAAAAAAAGCACAAGCTTTTGTGTGTCATCCTTCAGGCATGTGAATAAAACGGATCTTTACTGACATGTTTTACAAAGTAAAATAGTTCATTTTAAAAATTTGGTTTGACGTTAAAAAAATAGTACGGATGAAGAGTAACACAGTTCTTGGAGTATAGTGAATTAAATCCTAAATCTTTATTCAAATTTCATGACGCTTTCTGAAAAAGAAATAGGAGGAAAATCTCACTTAAAAATATTTTTGCTACCTGCATGTAACACCCTGAACATCTACAATACATGTGCAGGTGTTCTCCAAGTATTAAATGTAGTCTAAATCATTTTGAATTTCTTCTGCTACCTTTACAATACTTGCTCATTCTTTTGTTGGTATCATGTGCAAAATAGACATGTTTACTTATTTTTCCAGAATCTACTGTATATAATTGATATAAACTTAGAATTGTATTGGTTCTAATACAAAACCATGAAGCACATCTCTAAATGCATCACCTTATATTGAGCATCTGTATTCATTTTCTATGCAATAATTTACTCCAAATGCTTTCTTTTTCTTAAAACAACTTTCTATAATTACAGAATTCTATGAGGAACTCATATTATGATCTAGAAATCATAATATACCATATCAAATATTTTGTTTGTTCCCAATTATGCAGTTGCTTGTTTAAAGAACTCAAGTTAATTAAAAATGAACTTTTTCAAATCGTCAGGTACTACCCCATAGAATTAATTACTATTCCATAATGATGATTATTATATCTAAGTTTTAATTATCATCTAATTATAAAGTTTCCCTTTTCTTTTATTCTACTGGTCTTTTGTCTCTTTTACTGAAAAACAATATTGTTTATTTTAGCTTTCATTCAAATATTGTTTTCTCTGCATTTCTTTCACATATTTTAATCTGGTTGCAAACCACTAAACTCCTCTCCTTTAACAGGATAATTGTTTTCTTTGAACCATTTTATAGAGTGCTTTCTTCCTCTGTGTGTTCTTCTTAAGAAATGTAGTAGTAAATGCTGTGGATGGGTGAGTGGAGGTACAAATCTTCTTCAGACTGACGGATAGATCCTTCTGGCTGTGGGAGTGTCTGTGCGCTGCCTGGACTTTATCCCAGCCTGCAATGTTGACTTTGCTCTTGGAAAGATTGATGAGTATCCTTCACAGAGTGGTTTCCCTCAGAGTCCAAGTATTTTAATGATCTAGCATGAAATGTAAATGCTGAAATGATAAGTTGTGATTTTTGTTTCACGTTAAGTGAATTCTATAGTAGACTTTGAGTACATTTGGTGGCATTTATATGAAGAAAGGGATTTTTATTTATACATTTCATGCACAATGGACTTTTTAAATTGCATTTTGAAATAATGCTAGTGCTGTACTTGCCATGTAATTTCTTTTTTCCTTTATTGGGTTTGTTAGAAAAAAACATTTTTGGAAAAAACTGCTGCTAGCTGTTTGGCTCATTACGGGCCTATTATTCTATGGACAAAAGATAAACATACAGGTGAAATGTGGTTCAAGTTTCAGTTCAGAACTGAGAACACAAGCAAGGTGAAGTATTTATGTCAAAGTTAAAAAAAGATAAATAAAAGTACTTTTTGCATTTTGTTTTTTTTTCTTTGAAAGTTATCCCACTTTTACTGTATTTTACATTATTCTTCTTTGTGACAACGATCAACATACTGTACACGTGACTTTCGGTGGTGTTCCATCAGAGAGACTGTCCTTGTGCAGTCCTTCGAGGGGTTTTTGTGAAGTGCTGAAGAGAGTGGTCAACAGGGCTATCAGCTGGCTGGACGGAGTTCGTGACCCCCTCTCCTCCTCCACAGGAAGGCACCTGGGCTGCTCTCAGGCTTTCGATGGCGCAGGGCAGGAGCTTGCACACGCCTGGCACCTGGGAGACATCCACTTCAACGATGACAAGCACTTCGTGCCCCCGCGGAGCGAGCAAGGAATAAACCTCTTAACGGTAACTGGGAGATAGATGATGTGGGCTCACTTTAGAGGTGGGAGAAGGTTATGCTGAAAAGTGGAAAGAAAGAAGCATAAACTCAAAGGTTTCAGCTGTGGGGTCTTTCTGCTTTCCAGTGCGGATTTAACTGGATTCATTTTGCAACTCGCACCCTGATACCGCCCATCTCATGACATGCTTTATTTCCTGTCCTTAATGTTTTAGTGATTCCAAACAGGCCTGAGAGGGACACTCACCATCGTTGTTCCACAGTATACACGTTAGCCTCTTTCCTTTAGAGATCAGAGTATTCAAGGAATGAACACATAGATATGTTTCAGTGTGCAATAAAAATTATACTGAATGAGATTTACAATTAGCTCATCCAGGCCCAGACTGAGCTATGATCTTAGATCATAGATCGTAGCTTTTGTGAGTTTGTGAAGTTGAGTCTTGATCTGGTCATTACCGATTGTGATTGTGATTCCCCGTGAGGTGGTGCATCCGAGCTCCTTTAGTGTGTATAGATGGACCTAGTCATCCAGGGCTGCCTTTCTCCTGAGGAAACCTGCGAGTTCCTGGGTGCTTGTGGTCCTGCAGTGTTTATAGACACTTCCTCCTATGAACACCAGCATTCTTGTCAGGCTCTGTAGACTGTGGAGTGTTAAAAAAAAGAATGGAGCTGATGGGTAGGCATATCAGGGGATCCTCCAATAGTTACTGGAGCTGACCCTGTGAGCTGAGATTTATCAAAACAAATAGTGATTCCTAAATATGTTAATCCATTGTGAAATATGAAACAAATTTCTAAAACATGATGAAGGAAGATTTTCATCCATCCATTTTTTAACTGCTTAATCCAATACAGACTACACCCTGGACAGGACGCCAGTCCATCGCAGGGCACACACACAGAGACACTAAACACAAACATGGACCCACACTTGGGTCAATATTCCCAGAACCCAGTTAACCTACCAGTGTGTCTTTGGACTGTGCAAGGATACTAGAGCACTCCGAGGACACCCACACGAACACAGGGAGGAGATACAAACTCCACACAGACACCAAGTCTGGAATTGAAACCAGTACCCCAGTACAGTGAGGCAGTAGCGCTAACCACTTGAAAGAAAACAAAACGTTCCCAAATACATAAGTACTATTGTACTCTGAACAGGTGCGTAAGGTGATGTTTGAATCAGAAATCAGATGGACTTCTAATTTATCTCATTGACATCTAATAGGAATGCTCTGTTTCTTTCTTTCTCACATACAGGTAGCAGTTCATGAAATCGGTCACGTCCTGGGACTGCCCCACATCAGCAGAGTGGGGTCTGTAATGCAGGCCAGCTATAATTCCCAGAATGCCTATCTAGAGCTTGACCGGAAAGACAGAAATGCCATTCAGGGGATTTACGGTAATTTCCTGCATTTAAATTGACCGAACATACAGTATGAGCAACTCAAATGTTTCTGTGGTCTAAACACTGGGATACTTAGTTGCAACATTCAGATAGCATGACTTTGATGAGGTGATTAAGCATTGGACTGAATAGTTAATGCCTTTGTAAAACAGCTCATGTTTCTTTCTCAGACCTCCCTTAGAATAAACTAAAAGGTGTTCAGAGTGCAGTTTACTGGTCATATGCACAAGTGCAATGAAATGCATGTACGCTCCATTACAAAGACATTACAGAAAATCATAGTCAAAGAACACTCATAGCAGTGTGAGACAGTGGTGATTTATTTGCATACTGCTTGTGCTGTGTTTCCCAATTTGTGATTCCCAATATGCTGGGATACTGTCTTGTAGCACTAATTTGTTTTTGACCTAATTTCTTTACTCTTTCCATGCATAACATTCCCCTGAACCATTAAACCAAATGCCATTCCAATACATGTGTCCCTTGATTTTCATATTCTTGTGCAGCTCCCCACTAATTTCAGTAATGAGTGGAGAGCAGCGGATATTGAAGGCAAGCTGCAGTTCTTTCTTATCTTGTTATAAATGGAGATGTTGCATTATTATCCCTCCATAGACAGAATGAATAGCTCCAGTGGCATTGGTGTTTCTCACAGGTACTTGTGGACAACAGTTCGGCACCGTTTTTGACATGGTTTACAAAGGCGAGGATGAGGAGGGCCATGTGAAATACAAGTTCAGTACCTACTTCTTCCGCAGCAGCTGGTACTGGAGGTATGAGAATCAGTACAGCAGGCCCAGGTACCGAGACCCCATCCTCCTGCGAGTGGGCTGGCATGGTATACCCTCTGAGGGTATTGATGCATGTGTTCATGTCTGGACCACTGATAAGGATTCTGTTCTTTTTTTCAAAGGTAGGTAGGTTTAGTTTGCTGTCCATTTCAACCCTAGGAGGGCTATAGCTGAGAAGTACTGTGTAGCCTGAATGCCCAATATATATGATTTTAGTGTCAAGGAAATTCTATGATCAGCTCCCTGATCAGCTAATTCTATATTTTGTAGCTCGAAATCCAATCTGCTAAATCCTAGAATAGGCCATACTCCTGTATGTATTGCATATTTGTGTGGAAAATAGGTAAATCTATTATTTGAAAAATGGTCAGGGTGTCAAAATGTAACATGACCGCAACATTTCTAGAGTTATCAGGTTATTGCTCATTTTATAATTAGACCATTTAATTTTAATTTTAGAAACACATTGATATGTTAAATGACTGGCTCTTTAATAAATTGCTAGCTCATTGGTCTATTAATTAATAAAGTGGAAAAATTATGAATAACAAATTCTAAATTTACGAGTGTATCTGAAAGCAGAGACTCACTGAAGATGCCTGATCTAGCCCAGACATTTCTTCAAGCGCTCGGGCAGCTTTGGTAACAGCCTGTCTTCAAAACCCTAAAATATATGTGAAATCTGCCAGTACTGTTTATCCAAATATGATGAACACATTATTATAATTATTATTAAAACAGAAGGTAACAAAAATTGAGAAAAGCAGGAAATATCCAAGTAAATAAATACATAAGTAAAAAAAATAATCAACAACTGAGGGTTGGTATAGTTAGAGGCCTATGAATTATTTGTTCTCTCGCACAGCTTTGGTGCAAAGAGTAATAATTCAGGCACACTGGGTCAACAAATATTTATTAATAGTGACATTACATACACTAAAATACACACAACACACAAGCTACACTATTTCCAAATTTACAAATAAGGCAAATAAAGTGCAATTATAAAAGTAAAACATCAAAGAAAGCTGATGTCCCCAGTTGTGTCCAGTCCCATCGACACAGCTTTCTTCGACATGCGGGATCACAACATCTGCTTCTTCTGAGGGAATAATAATAATAATAGCTTACACTTATATAGTGCTTTTCTGGACACTCCACTCAAAGCGCTTTACAGGTAATGGGGACTCCCCTCCACCACCACCAGTGTGCAGCCCCATCTGGATGATGCGACGGCAGCCATAGTGCACCAGTACACTCACCACACACCAGCTCTCAGTGGGGAGGAGAGCAGAGTAATGAAGCCAATTCATAGATGGGGATTATAAGGAGGCCATGATTGGTAAGGGCCAATAGGAAATGTGGCCAGGACGCCGGGGTTACACCCCTACTCTTTTTGAGAAACGCCCTGGGATTTTTAATGATGTACAGTAAGACTGCAGGTTCTATAAACATTTGTCTTGTCCTTCAGGTAGTCTGGTGCGCAGGTCATTTGCAGATAATTGTTTTTAAGATTCCGCACTGGAATCGGTGTAATTGCCAGCAGAAAGCCATCCGATCACTGCATGAGGTTCTCATCCAGCCCAGTCTGCCCAGCAGCTCCGCAGACACTCTCACTGAGTCACAGAGTCACCGCTGCAATCAGATGTCGTCCACTCACCACAGGTCACGTGTGCTGCGCGTCACGTTTTCCAACGCTGGGAATGCGTGACGATGATGATTGAGCTGAATTTAATTTTAAACATTTAACATTCAGTAGAGTGGAACAGGAGTGTATAGTCATGTACTGGCTGTCATAAAGACAGGGGCTTTTGTCCTTATCAATCAGGCTTTTTCTGTGTGCAAGCTGAAATGTTAATGATTTTTTTATTGAACAAAGCCTAATTTTAAAAACTCTGCTGATAGTTCCTAAGGTTTCTGCAGAGTCTTGCGCAAGTTGCCAGTGAATAATAACTGCAAAGGGATTCAATGTAGGGTAGGTACTAGTACATTTGAAATAGGCTATAGTGTATACTGTCTGTCTTTGAATGCTGCCTGGATGCCTCAAGATGTGTTTGGGCTGGAACAGAGGTTTTCTGCAATGCTCTGGTTTCTAATTAGCTCACCAATTTGTAAAAAACTGTCTCTTTTGTACAGTAAATTGACTGACAAGCTGATAAATTCATACTGTAAATGTATTATTTTACAGATTGAAACATGGTTAAATTTATAATATATTGATATTCAATTATATTTATAATATAATTTATAATCATAACCAGCAACTCCATAGATTTAGCTTTTCAACTTTAACCGTAATATATGCGTTGTACAACCTGTGGAAAATCCTATGTCTTAATTGACTGCTTTTTTTTATTTTTATGGTATCTGTCACTCCCAGTAGCTGGTGCACACTGTGTGAAACGACGGTCTATGAATTCTACTTTTATCGCTCAGGTACACAGTTCTGGCAGTACGACACGGAGAATGACAGAGCATGCACTGAGGATTCCCAGGGCAGGCCCTTCCCCCAGCTCATTAAGGACAGATTCCCGGGGGTCCCCAGTCCCATCGACACGGCCTTCTTCGACAGGCGGGATCACAACATCTTCTTCTTCAGAGGGAACAATGTGAGACTGCAGCTTCTGTAACACAGGCACCTTCCCAACTGCCATCTGAGTTTCCCTCCATTTAATGTACAGACATATGGGCAAGTTAAAGGTTTACTCCCTGCTGAGAAGAGAAGGAAGGAAACACAACGTTTCGGCTGTGGAGCCTTCATTGGGTGTGAATAAGAACATACTCGAAGAAGGCTCCACAGCCGAAATGTTATGTTTGCTGTCTTCTCTTCTCCGAATGGAATAAACCTTTTACTTGTTCCTTTACAGCCTACGCATGCTGACGCAGCTCCCTACTTGAACCAATACAGACATAGTAAAGTGTCTCTTAGAAACATCTTTAATTTATACCTTTTCCTCTCATACAAGTCACTGAAAAAAAATCTAAACTTCACCACATTTACAGAGGAGTTTTTAAATTTTGTTCAGAAGTTTAGAAAGATATGACCAGGTTTTAAAAGGTCTTCAATAAAACATATTGGAAAAACTGTGAATTATGCATGCATAGAAAGTTTTGTAAAGGGTTTTGTATAGAACAGCAGATTTTGTCACATTTCAGCACGTTGTCATTTGGATCAGAGAACTTTAGATGTTTTGTTTCTTAGTCACCATGTCCATTCTGTCACTAAGCAATCCAGGTTAGATCCTCACATTCTACCATCCAAAACTAAAGATGAGCATCTGTTTTGTAATTTCTGAAACATTTTAAACCTGCTATCACAAGACTAACAATGTCTCCAATGAGACTCCTGTGAACCGGTTTCCACCACAGTATTTGTTTGTTGTATGTAACAGGACTTATAACTAAAGTCCAAATGTTAAAAAGTTGTTCATTACCTCCTTTTACCTCAAAACTGATTCACATTATCGGTGGTGTATTTCAACAGAGGTAAACCCAAAATGGTGCTTGTTAAGGTCTGTGTTTTTCTGTGTTACTGACAGGTAACTGCCTTCAATGTTGATCTCAACAGAAAGGTTGATGGTTACCCCAAGCGGATAATTGATGTTTTTCCTGCAGTGGTGTCTGGTGATCACCCAGTGGGAAATCTGGATGCTGTCTACTTCTCCTACTACTACAACGCTACCTACATCTTCAAGGACCAAGACTATTGGAAAGTTGTGGATGAAAGGGACAGAAAGTCTAACTCCTCGCTGCCTTACAATGGCCTTTTTCCTCATCACAGTATCAGCAGCCAATGGTTAGACATCTGCGATGTTCATCCGTCCATGCTGAGCCCAGATAGATCCATTTAATTTATCCTTTTTTTTCAGTGCTGGTAAAATCAACACTGGGTACATACTGTGTTCCAACAGGAATGAAAAATATTGTTTGACTTCATCAGGAGGGAAACTACCACAAGGTAGAGATTTCAAAATTTAAAAAATATATATATATTTTTTTCCACTATGGCACCTCAGAGAGATATTGTGCTTGTGTTCATGAGAGGATGGTAAGATATTCCTATCAATCTTTCTCCACTGGAGTGGAGTGTCAGCAACCAGTTAAACTGCGTGTGGATGTTACTGGCCAATATTACAGGCACGCAAAAATACTCTGTGACTGAAACATGTTAGGTTCATATATACAGTGGTTGGCTCTTCTAAGTAGTTCAATAATGGTTAGCAAGACTATGCTTTAGAAAAGCAAGGGAATGACTTTTTCAATGCTATGACCACTGTAATTTCATTTTAGCATATCAAGCTCACAAGTCAAGAACAGACAGATCTCAGTTGGATTTTTCATTTTTACCAAATAGTTTCATACATTCAGACTGTTACCACAATGTCTGGGCCCCACCCACGTACTGTATCAACTGCTTCTGAACTCACTTTATGTAACGCTGCAACAATGTCTCAGTTTTGTTTTCACGTAAAACAAACAGCCTATGTATTATTTTCGGGGACTGGGTGCTTTTTCTGACACCATGAAGAAAACAAGTAACAAAAATACATCATCTCATTTGTAGCTTTAATAATAAAAAACAGTTACAAAGGAGAGACCATTTCACCCATTTAGCCCAGTTGGTACAGTAGGAAGCAGTTCATTCATTGAAGGATCTCGTCCAGCTCTTTTGTCGAAAGAAGCCAGGATATCAGCTTCAGCAGCTTGGTGGGTACCTTGTCAAATACCAACACAACACTGAAGTATCATCACTGTTTCCTAAAATGAAAACTGGGTGTGGCTGCGGAATGAGCTTTCTAAAACTACAAAAGTATACAGTGCCTTCCAAAAGTACTGGGACTGCAAAGTCAAAACTGCCATTACCGTTTTGTAGCTAATAAGTTCATATACTTACATGTACTTATGAGTTCAATATGAACAATATACAGTATTTTACAACTCATTTTGTAGGGATGAGTTATTCACAGCTCTTTTATGAGCCTCATTACAAATTCAAAAGAGGTTCCACACTATCAATTTGTTTAATTGCCCCAAGAGAGCAGAACTGAAAATTGGCTTTAATAATAACTTTGGAGTTGTGCTTACCACTATTTTTTTTCACAAGGCATTATTATTTTTAGTATTCATTGTGAAAATCCCAGTTTACTCTAGATTCCATTGTCCCAAGGCACTTGGTGTACAAAAATGGTATTATGAAGAATCTCAGAGATCACTTCACATTTTTACATCTCACACAAGACAGACGTGTGAATTTCATTTTGACAGAGCGTTTTTGTTATTTGAAAATCATACTACTTTGCAAGATATTAAACTACTGGGCATATTTGCAAAACACTTTAATTCTGTGGTTTCAGAGTGTTTTCTGGTGCATAAATGACCATTTATCCCTTTTAAGCAAAAGGCACTCCCATAGAGAAATCACTTAAGCAATTTAGTCATGAAAATTAAAACTAAAAACTAGATCGGTTTTTAAATTTAAATTAGTTAAATTAGCTTTAAAAATGTAAAAGCTGAAACAAAATTGAGCAGTATTGCATGCTTGCAGTTAACATGTTTGAAAATTCCTAATTTAATATGAATTTTGTTGTCTTAAATATACAAACATCAAAAGAAATTCGAGAACACCTACAGGTATCAATAAAATTTCAGGTTAAGGGCTGAAAAGTCATCTATAAATAAATAACTAGTCTAATAAACTAAAGAACATTAATTGATGGTGAAGAACATGTAGCAAACTAATCCACATCATTTTTAAAGTTCTTAAGATTGTCCTCCTAGATTAATTAATGGCTACTTCAATGTTAATTGTTACACGTCATAAAGAATGATTTACAATCGCACAATTAAAGTTAAAATGAAATTAACCTGTGTTTACAGTCATTTGGCTCTTCTCCACTTTCTATATCTTTTTGAAGATACATTACAAAACTAATATAATTTTTTGATGCTGTCTTGATTTCACTGATTTGGGATATCAGATTGTGGAATGAAACTTCTCTTGGCAAAACAATTAAGACACTTTAAAAAAAATGCCATTAAAAAAACACAATACACAATTGACACACGACGCTTTAGGCTTGGAACATAAAAAAGGTCATTGAAGTAGTATTCTTGAAAGAGTCATAAAAATAAATCTTTGATATTGGAGCAGCTAGTTGGTGCCATTTTATGTGCTTTTTTCTGTGCTTGTGAATGTTTGAAATGTTTGCTGGTTTTATGTTTTACTATATGGACAACCACTTTCTGAAACAAGTGACTCAGATATTTTGAGTAACGCTTATAGAATTTACACATTTTTCAATGGACAACTTCAGTTGTTTTAAATTAGATATTGTCTTAAGTAATTAAAATGTGCAAGAGGCAATCTCACACCCACACCTGCTATAACAGAAAGTAAACTCTTGATCTGATCTTTTGTGGCTGGGTGCACTATTTTTTCATGTAGCTCAGCACTGAAAAGTACCCTTTCCGGTGTCTTATTTTCTACTGAAAAATCTGTCTCGCATTTCAACAGGAATAGTGTCAAACCCATCCTAAGAAGCTTTTCTTTATACTAAACCACAAAAAACAATGAAGGACTCTTTTCTACTGAAACTCACTTAAGAAGAAAGCAGAATATATTATAATTATTAATAAAAGATAAATCCAACACAAGCATTTGCAAATGCTTCAAGACTGAATCTGAGTAAGATGTTGAATAGTTTTGACAGTTTTACAGTAAAGTCACTTAAACATTACTAGTGACAATAGTAAATTACTTTATTAATTAATACTTTATTGGTTTTCTGCCTTCATCTGCCATTAAAGCATGTGTACTTTTATTGCAGTAGATGAACTGTATTTAAAAATGTTACTATTTATGCCATAACCATGGTTATAATTATACTGTATTTGCATTATATGCTACTGTATGTATTTTTGTAATCATAGCTATATGCATATGCTATGATATTTGTCATTGCTAGTGTTATTTGTCACTGTTCACTGTCATTTTACTTTGCTGGTGTTATTTTTACCCTTCTTTCCGAAACAAATCGATTTCATAAAGACATTTAAACTGTATCATAACTGCTCCACCACCCCCGCCCCACCAAAAAAAAAAACAAAAGTAAGAAAACTGCGATATGTTTACAGTATGTGCAGGCCTGGATGATTTTCCCTGTAGACAAATGACACATAAGTCATGCACATCTCTATGTACTTTGTTAATAAATTAAATACCTGATTTTTCTCTCTTTTGTCTGTTTGAAGCCTCTTTTACCCTTTATGGCCTGAGTTTTAATTTTTGGTTGGAACCTGTAATAAGTGCTCCTACTATATATTGTAAGTCACGATTCACCTCTGGCTCTTGGAGAAATGAACTCTGGCCAGTGTCCACTTTGAATATTCTGCAGGCATTCTAATGCCATTGAAAATCTTCCCTTTCTCCTCTTTGATGCCCAGTTTCTGAGTTTATAGTTGTTTTTTTCACCAGGCAGTACTTTCCAATCTCAACAGGCGATAACGGGTTATAAGTTTCAGGTTCAGATGCAGTTAAAAAAAGAAAGCCTTAAGAACCAGCTCAGTGAAGTTCTGGTTCTCTGTGGTGTGAGTGGTTAGGAGCATTCAGTTTGCTGTTGGTTTTTAGTGGGGAACCGCAAGGAGCTCCACATTAGTCACTCACAGATCACAGATCACATCTGCCAATTGAAGTACCTTACGCATCATGCCATGTGACTTCATTATATTTGTTCTTCAGCATAGAGCTACCTTGTAAACGTATTCATCTGCAGATGTTGCTGTACAGACACACCTTAGCAAGTTAATAGTGCAATAATATCATGATACTGATATAATATGCATGCATGCAGTATGATACACTATACAGTGAGGCTCATGACAATCATGGACACTTGTGAGATGACTTGAATGGAGCAATGTTTTATTGTGCCTGCATTTCAAAATGTTTATTAAATGTATCTGTACAATTCCATTTTTAGTCAAACATATCCTTTCATTAATCAGGTCAATTGAGGATACATTCTGGTTCCCAGTGACACCCCAAAGACAACCCACTTGCACAGCAGGGCATTAACTGGAGGAGTCTGAGGGACGTACCTTACTCCAGGTATAACAGCTGGGATTCGAACCCACAACAGAGCCACTGTTCTACATCACATTCTTATATTAAGCTTGAGGGGATGTTAAAAAGAGCACGGTGCTTTTAACCTGTTTTCTGTATGCGATGCTATCTGAATGCAGTGCAGCAAGAAAACCAGCTCCTCTGCCTGTCAGTGTTTGTGACTGTATGATATTGCCATATGGTATGAACAAGGTGAATAGTGAGGCTTGTCAGAAGGAGGCTTCCCCTCCTCCTGTGGCTGGCATTCTCAGAGCAGTGGGGTAGGGATGAGGCGATCAGGAAAAAACAGCTCCAACACACCGTGCGGCCCCAGTGTCTCTCAGAAAGGTAGGCGCTTTGAAGAAGTGCATGTAAAAAATCCACAGAAACATTCATGATAAAAATGTATTACAAACCGTTTGCATATCGGCGTAGGTGTTTTATTCCATGCTGAAGTGAAAGAGAAATAATATATCGACTGTGAAGCCTTCTTCAGGTCAGCCGAAACTTTGTGTTTTTTTCAGCATGGAATAAAACCTTTCTTCTTGCTTTGCTGCCTATGCACGGTGACGGAGATACCTACTTGAACATTTGGGCTGTTAAATTGAACCTTTAACAGCAGTAATTGTTTTTCGATCAGGATCAATGTACACGTCATAACATGCTGTAGTGCTTTTCTATTAGATTGTAAAAGTGATTTAATCTGTCACATTCATCAATAGCTAACATCTTACAAATAACTCAACTTCATTTTGAATGTCCCTTGTGGGAAAGTATTCACAAAACGGTTTCATAATTTATTTTTCTTATCTGTTTTAAAATAGTTTCATCAGTATGTAATTGTGTAGGCTATTTAACACAAACATTCACCAGACACACTAATCTGCTAGACAGGTGGCTTAGAAGGAGGCTGTCAGGTTTGACATTCCTTCATATCAGCAATGCTCAGTGTCTTTAAGATGTCATTTTCTCACCATGCTGGAACGTGTCTCAGACCTCTAATTCTGCTTTGACACAGACTTCTAACTCCAAAAATTAATAATAATTTCCATAATTCACAGTGACTGCTATCTCTTAAAAAAGATACTGTACCACAAACCTCAAAGATTTGAATTGTAAACTGTTTATACAGTATGTGCCCATTCCATAGGATAAGCCTTGTAAAAAATCTACAGTATTTGGATTTTATATGCGCTGAAGTGATTTATATTTTTATTTTAGTGGTAATTGTGTTTCAGGGTTATTTGTTCTGCTTCACAATTGTTCAGTTCTTAAACAATGTCCACAGAATTATTGATGAATTTGGCACCTATAGATCTTCCTGTTATTGTTTTCTGTGATTTATCCGATGGTCCTTATTTCCTATAGAAAGCATAGCCTCCAGTCTTCATGTATTCCTCCTGGATGAGCCCAGACCTCTCATTCCTACAGAATTTCATTGTTGTTCAGCTTGAAGCTCATGTCTTTTCCTGACTGACGCAGCTCGGCCAACACGGATACGAGCTCTCCTTTCAGGGCCCAGCTGATCTGACTTCCTGCGAGACTGAAGTGAAGATGTTGGAGTGAGAGGACCGTTACAAAGTGACTGGAATTTCATGTTTATACCGATTTACACCTCTATCATCACTGTAAAACACATGTACACAATCCACTTAGTGGATCCAGAAACAAACAAGCTCATACAAATATGTACATTCCATGACCTTAGTTGATTGTATATTGCATCTGAAAAACATTTTGGCCTCAATACCTGACCTCTCAATACCAATCAATGAGAGGTACAGTATGACTGCTCACTACCTCTCAAAGCAGACATTAAGGAGCAGTTTGTATTATCAGTCTCAGTTTCTGCAATGCTGTGTCTGTTAATACCAATCCAACTAATTAAACTAAGAACACCTACTGTATGTTGTCGAGAACCAAAAAGGAAGCAATCTTAATCTGGTTTTCGATTTCTACTGTCATGTCTGAGCAGTGTTTGCCAACACACTCAGGGTATTCCCTGAGAGAGTTGTTAAGGGAGTTTGTTTGCCTTAAAATGCAAATTGAATCATTTTTCATTTTTAGACAACAATCAGAAGCCCCTATCCAGTCACAGTATGAGTGTGCTTCTTCCTTCAATATTAACTTGTTTCACATCCTGCTATCTGTTTCCAACAGCTTAATTATTTCCTCTCCAAAAAATAGTTTCAGTACAAATTAGCTCCAGGGGCTCATTGAGTTTGATGCAGTCGGATGTGCCAATAAGGAATTTATTATTCCAATCTCCCTTCCTCTGCACCCTGAATGCATACACACACACAACATTGCTTTACACAGCACAGCAAAGGCACAAACATCACACACACAGCACCCCAGGAATTGGACCAGGACCCCACCCCTGCAAGTAGCAATGATAACCCCTCCACCATCATGCCACCCCCTGTTTCTCAATTAAATCTCTTCAATTTTATATTAATTTCTTTATATTACCTAAAAATCACACTTCTAAGTGTAATTCAGATTTGAAAATAGGAAATAATTAAAGGTTAATTAAAGTATTAGAAATGCAACACCAGAAGGAGGCTCAACAGATGAAGCATCGGGTTTCTTCTTTGGACTTTTCAGTGTGGAATTAACCATTACTTTTTCTTTTGCAGCCAACGCTTGCTGACGCAGCTCCCCACTCAAAACTCTTCAATTAGATCTTAAAATTAGTCAGTTTCCCTTTCTAAAAGAGACATTCAATAACCATACCTACCAGACCTGCTGTAACTTGCAGTTTGGGTTCTTCATTGCCACAGCCAGAAACTCCACCGCGTCATCCCCCATCTCATTATCACTGAGGTCCAGCTCTTTCAGCGTGGAGGCAAACATGCCAACAGCCAGGGCAAGATATTTACAGCTTCTGGAAGTCAGACCACAACTCCTCAATCTGGAAAACAAAAGCAATAAGCAACAGGCCGGGCATCTACTAGCAGTACTGCATGTTTTTTTATCTCTTTTTTACGTGGGTCTTGAAGATGTCAACACATTGCAGTGAGAGACGGGTTCTGTCCAGATGGACAACTTAAAAATGCAATAGTCCCATTGTAACTCATTCTAATCAATGGTTTGGCTTACAGCAGAAGAAATGCAATCCTTACCTAAGTGTCTGTAGTCTACAGTTAGGGTTCTTCAGTCCAGCAGACAAAAACTCCACTCCAGAATCCCCCAGGTTGTTTGCATTCAGGTCCAGCTCTTGCAGATTTGACTGGGTGGCACTAAGAGCACAAACTAGAGACTCACAGCTCCTGGCTGTTAATCTGCAGAATTCTAACCTGCAGAGAGCATACCATATAGTGCATTAACCATTGCTGTCCTGCACATCAAAATTAGTCAGCCAGGACCCTCAAAGGGCATTCATCTAATAATCACTTCTACTGCAAATGACTATCATGGCGGTGCTGATGACAAAAGATATTGCATAATATCAAATTATTCCATATTGGAATAATGTACCAAAGTACATTCCAATAAGACATTTACTAGATACCCAACATTGCGGCTTTCTCATTAGGGGTGAGAAACTTTGCCTGACTGATCCCACGCAACGAGGGTTACAAACCCCTGGTTCCATACTAGCTAACATGTGTGATCTTCAGTATTTTTCCAATATACTGCAAAACTGCATGCTGCAATATACTGTGGGCTGTTAAATCCTGAAAAGTTAAAGGTTTAACTGCTTTGTTCCTCTGTCCCTGCTGCTGAAAGAGACTACTGCGGCAGCAACAGGACATTCACTAGGCAGTACTTTGTGCAGCTCATGGCAAAAGTAGTTACCTCTTACCCTCAGGATTTTTCATTGGTAATAGAAGTGTTTATTTTTAATGAATAAGGAAGAGTAGAATATAGTACAGCCTGTCTTCTACCACTGTTATACCTTCTATACTGTTATAAAGTGTTACAGTAAGGTGAATAGTCATCATTATTGTCTGAATAAACAGAACTTTCTCCTCTATGGCTAAAGCACTAAGATGTTGTTCGGTGATAATGGAAAATGATTCAGGCCTAACTCTGGGCAGTGCCATTGTTAGATGTTGTACTGTATGTATGTTGCATGTATGTACTGTATTGTTGCTGTTTGACAACAATATCTAACATCAATTAATCATTATTATTTATTGCTCTTTACCCCAGGTTCTTTATTTTACAGTTGGGATTCCTGAGTCCCCAACACAAAATATCCAGTCCTGAATCTTCCAACCCATTTATTTTAAGATCCAGCTCTGTCAAGCTTGAATGGTTTGTGCAGAAAACTGAGGCAATGTCTTCACAACATGCAGGGGTGAGCCCACATCCCTCTAACCTGGAGAAACAGGAGTAAGTCATTATGCATCATAAGCATTTACAGTATTTCTGAACATAAAACTGCCTCACGACAGAACGATAAGTTACAGTTCGCAATATTTATCAAAGTATAACTACCCGATTACAATGATATGACTTAGATTTGTGAAACAGCTGGGTATTTGGAATTCCTTTTTGTTTGAACAATGAAATAGATTATAAGCAATCTGCGCACAGGCTATGAGCACTATAATGCAGAAGTAATGACATTAATATCTGACACGAGCTGACTGCGATCGGGATTCCTCATGAAGCAGGAAGACATCAGCAGGATAGCAGCTCACTAGTGACAGAACAGAAGTAAAATTAAATAGAACAAAAAGATCACAATAAACTGATCAATGAAGCCAAGAGTAGAATGACATTATATAATAAAAGCAGCAGTGGAAATTTATTTAAGAGAGTCATCAAAAAATGACAATCACAGAGGCTACAAAGGATCTGGGCAATAAGTTCTCAATGCATTGTACAGCAGCCTGGTTGTCAACACAGTAATGAATGAGTCTTAGACTCTAGTGGAGCTAAAATCTGATAATCACAGCTTGACTAATAGAGCCTAATACTGTATGTGAGCAGTGAAACATCCACTTGAAATTAAAGAGGTCAATACCATTTACAAAGGATTGGAGCTACAGTATATGCATAAAAGGAAGACAGTTATGTGCTGATACTAAGTTCTTTTATTTAAAAAGTGACCCACAGAAATCTGTTCATATTGAGGGATATTTAGTACCTCAACAGATACTCCAGTAGGAAAGCCGTTGCAGTAGTCTAATCACTGAATTGGCTTCATCACTCTATTCTTCTCCCCACTGATAGCTGACGTGTGGTGAGTGTACTGGCGCACTATGGCTGCTGTCGCATCATCCAGGTGGGGGCTGGGGACTGGAGGGGAGTCCCCATTACCTGTAAAGCGCTTTGAGTGGAGTGTCCAGTAAAGAGCTATATAAGTGTAAGCAATTAATATTACTTATTATTGAATAAATGCCTGTAAAAACTTCACACAGATCCAGGATGTTCCCTAAGCAATGTTATGCAGAAAAACAAGAAAGCTCTGTCAAAACCTCCATCAAAGGTTCAGTTTCGGAATAGAATAACAACGCTATACTTACAAACTGGGAACTTGATGTTACGAGCTTATAATTATAGTCTCAGTCTCATCACAGTACTGTACATTCTAAAAATGTTCTGTGCATATATGTTTTACCATCGATCTGCAAGTAAATCTGAGTGTCACAGCATACAGTACCTGTGAAACTCAAGCCCATGATGGTGAGTAGCAGTCAAGAGGCAACATGTGGCTACAGAGTGATGAGCTACCTCTTGTGTAAACAGAGCAGTAAATGATGAGGTTCATGTTTTCTGGTTGGGGCAGGAGTGTCTAGCCACTGCAGAAATCCAGTTAAAGAATAAGAAGCTTGGCAAGTGGGGGGAGGTCATTCGTCTCATCTTTTTTAAAAGTGTATCAGTTACTGTTTCTTAAAAGGTGCCTGGCCTTCTTTGTCTGAAGGATTTTTTCTTATCCCCCATCTAAAATAGATTAACTTTTAGTTTCCAGCTGTGTCCTGGTGTCTGTATCAGTTATTACTGAGTGTGAAATAGTCCCCTGAGCCTATTCTTTTAATACACCCTATATACTTTATATTGGATTCTACATACCTGAATTAACTCTCTTCCTTACATTCTGTGTTGAATAATCTTTGGTCTGTTAAGCTGTACAGATACAATAACCCTCTGAGACTATAAATATTATGAATGGTTATCAAAAATGAATATTGTTTCTTTATGATAATGAACACAATTGAACATTATATTCTTAATGTGGTTTTACTGGAGTATTGTGAAGTTTAAGCAGATCTTAAATGGATTTAATGTTGCTTTATTCTAAATACCTTTACAGTACCTACGAAAGGGGACTGACTCATTCTTCACTGAAGTCGTGCACCCACCTGAGTGATGTGCAGCAGCCATTACTGTATGTGCCAGATGTCCTACAACACAGCAGGTCAAGTAAAGAAGTGAGAAATTGCTTCCCCTATTGAATCACAGATTGAGCCCAGATTGTGTAAGACCAGTGTGGAAATTCAGATTTAACACTTTCACTCTTAAAAGCTCTGCCATGGAATCTTCAATGGCTAAGAAAGAACCTTGTCTTACCTGACGAACAGCTCCACCAATAGCACAGTTTCCCAAGTCATAATATTGGGACATTGGTATTTACTGTTTTTAGGAAATAAAGTCTCACCCCCTTACTTCAGTGTTTGTAGCTGACACTGTGGGTCCTTCAGTCCCTCTGACAGGATCTTTACTCCATCATCCCCCACAGTGTTCCTGCTCAGCACTAACTCCCTCAGACTGGACTGGACTCTGCAGAGACTGCTGGACAGATACTGACAGCTGCCAGCAGTAAGACCACAGTGCCTTAACCTGGAGAAACAAGGAAAGAGCTCAGAATGTCTCTCTTTATAATCTTCAAACCACGGCTACATTTCAAAGAGAGAAAATGCTGAAGCATTCTCTGACTATGACATTAAACGCATTAATCATAACCTCTGCAATTCGTGGGACTATTTAGAGCTCACAGCAAATGATTCCAATTGAAAATTTGTATTAGTTTATTAATATAAACCTGACATGTGTACAATGTCCATGTGCTATGTACTAATCATGTAAATGAATGGTGATATGGGTATTGGGTGGTGCTGTGGGTTACACTGACACTTTATAGCTCCAGGATATTACATTCATAATTGTCTCTTAGTGGGTGGATTCTGCATGTTCCCCTTGTATTTATTAACTCAGCTGGAGTTTTCTCTGGGCCCTCAGGTTTCCTCCCTTAGTCTTCAGAGGTGCTTTCCAGGTTAACTGACTCAGTCCAGTAACAGACTCCAGTGCAGGTTGCCTGCAATGGGTGGGCGCTTTGAGCCCTTCCATTCACCCCTGTGTCTTACTGGTTAGTCTCTAAGGATCACCACCCTTCTAAGGGTAAAGCAGGTAAATAAATGGAGCTTTTGACTAATTTGATTATTTAATTATATCATAAAGACTGCAGTTGGGGTTACTAGATCACCATGGAAACACAACCAATTACTTAAAGGAATAGTTAAATGAAACAAAGTGAAAAATATATACTTCATATATAAATCATAATCAATAAATCAGAAATAGTGTTTCTACAAAGCTGAATTTCAATTAAAACAATGAGCAATTTCAAAGACACCTTTGAAAATGTCAACAGCAGACACTCTTCTGTATTTCACAGCTTCAGATCAGTGGAATATCTACACTACCTCAAAGCAAATACTGGATATTACTACAATTGTGAAAAATTATAAGTTATTTAGCTTAGTAATGCTCTTGTTTTGTCTAAATACAAGAACAGACTTTTTCTCTGCATGCTCTACCCTCCTGGGAGGTCCAGAGAACAAAGTGTGCCCTGAGTTATATTGAGAGTACATGTTGATATGATCCTTTTAATGTATACTGCCTGGTTGCACCTGCCCTTGATCTGATTTCAGGCAGTCTAGAAAAGTCTAGAAAAGTATTTTTTAAATACCTTTGGCTGTGATCTGGAAGAGCTGCTTTGTGCTTTGATTTGCTACACATTAACAAAGAATTGACCGAGTCAGCCTCGAGCACTGATACTCACCCCAGTTTCTGTAATTTGCAATTGGGATGTGTCAGACCAGTAGACAGTTTCTTTAAACCATCGTCTTCTATTTGATTCATCATGAGTTCCAGCTCCCTCAGACTTGCATGGTTTGTACAGAGAACGGACGCAAGATATTCAGAGCTCACTTTCGTCAGACCACACTGCTTTAGCCTGCAGGGATTGTGCAATTGTTTCAAACACAGGTCTAGGTAAAGCATCATTTCAGGACTTCGATTCTAGGCTTTTGTTTTAAACAGATTTAAAGTAAGGTTCCTTCTCAAATTTACTCTGATTAGTTGCATTTTGATTGAAAAGTTTTTAAATGAATCATCTGAATAAGTGTAAAGCAGAGCATACCGTTGTGTACGTAATTTTATTTTGAAGACAGAACAGGAAATGAAATTTGGTGCCCTTGTGGTTTGTTAGGTCTGCAACTCACAAATACTGTATGTTACTAATGCCCAAGCTTTGACTGAAATGTAATTTATTTAGAGAATCAAATAAAATGGTATTGCAACAGAAAGCAAACCAATCCCCAAGTGCTGCATATTTTCCTGGGATTTTTACATTTTCATCCTCCACCCCTAGGGCTTGGAAAAGTACACTATGTTAATCATGAAATTAATCTCAAATACATACGTGAGGCTAAACATAAAAAATTGAAATTTCGTTCATTTCAACCTGCTTCACTCCTCATACGATGAACAGATGTTATCTGTGAAAAGACCTTGCACCTCTTCAATCACTAGTAAAGGTATTTGAGCTAAAAGCTAAGCACAGGATTAATATGAAATGGAAAGTGAGAGGTGCAAAAGAGGTAATAAAATCTGTCCGCATCCATTAGTAATTATATGAATAGCAAACAGCCGAGATCGCATCTCCAGCTCCATATACTCGCCCCAGTCTTCGTAACTTGCAGCTTGGATCCGCCAGCCCAGCACACAGCAGCTTCACGCCAGCGTCCTGCAGGATATTCCAGCCCAGCTCCAGCTGTCTGAGCCGCGACTGGTGGGATCTGAGGACGAAGGCCAGATCCACGCAGCTTCTGGCCGTGAGGCAACACTGTTCCACACTGCACGGGCCGCGTGGGAAAACACAGGCAGATTAACTGTCTCTAGTAACACTTGCAACATTTGCCGTTTGCTCATGAGGTTTAGGCTGATGTCTGCTGTGCAGATATGGTCTCCTTTTTAACGTGAATTAACTGCTACTGCCGTCTCGACAGTACCCAAGCTCACAACAGCAAAATGCACATACTTCGGAAGGGTTATTATTTATACCCTTGTAAAGACTCACAGACACAGACTGGAATATAATAATAATCCTAACATTTATATAGCGCTTTTCTGGACACTCCATTCAAAGCGCTTTACAGGTAATGGTTTCTCCCCTCCACCACCACCAACATGCAGCCCCACCTGGATGATGTGACAGCAGCCCATACTGCGCTCACAGTACACTCACCACACAGGAGCTCTCAGTGGGGAGGAGAGGAGTGTGATGAAGCCAATTAGGAGGCCATGACCCCTAGGAGGCCATGACTGGTAAAGGCCAAAGGGAAACTTGGTCAGGACACCAGAATAGCACCCCTACTTTTTCAGAAACACCCTGGGATTTTTAATGACCACAGAGAGTCAGGACCTCGGTTTTACGTCTCTTCCGAAGGACGGCGCCTGTTTACAGTAGAGTGTCCCCGTCACTATACTGGGGCATTAGGACCCACATGGACCGCAGGGTGAGCGCCCCCTGCTGGCCCCATTAACACCTCTTTCAGCAGCAACCTTAGTTTTTCCCAGGAGGTCTCCCATCCAGGTACTGACCAGGCTCACACCTGCTGAGCTTCAGTGGGCTGCCAGTTGTGAGTTGCAGGGTGATACGGCTGCTGGAATAAATATAACTTTATCATATAAAATATTATAATTTCGCTATACTATAATATTTTACTATACTTTTGCTATACAAGAATATAATTTTGCTTGTTCTAAATGGCTTTGTATCCGGTTTGTGAATCTTTATCTTTTTGACCTCTCATCATGGAATACTCCAGACATTCAGTTTCAAAACACTAAATGTATGTATGTGAGCTTGGAGCAGTTCTGTACTACAAACAGCAGCTCAAAATAATGATCCCTGATCCAGCAGTTATCCATTAATGAAAAATGTTTACCTGTATCTGGAATTACATGCACAATACTTGCATTCATTTCTGGTTCGGGAGCAAAACTTACCTTAGTCTCTTGTAAAGCTTTGCAACGGGTAACATTCGGATAACACCTTCTTCGTGAAGGCGGTATTTGCGCAAGTTGAGTTCATCAGTTTCACCTGGGGACATCTGGAAGATGTAGGCAAGCGCTGAGTACTGCGATGGTGAAAGCTTTGCCTTTGAAAGCTGTCCTGAGTTTAAGGACGTTTTCAGCTCCTCCACAAGAAAGTTGTCATTTAGCTCATTCAGGCAATGAAAAAGATTGATGCATCTTTCAGGAGAGATGTCGCTCCTAATTAAATCCTTGATGTATTCGGTGGTCTGACTAATGACATCAGAATTGTCTTCTGTGTTTAATAAAAGTCCATTTAATAGATTTTGGCTGTGTTCTGTACTGACGCCTAACAGAAACCTGACAAAGACATCAAGATGACCACTTTTACTGAGGAGAGACTTTTTCAGTCCTATTCTAAACACATCCCGTAAACTAGGCTGTCCAGCAACACAGCTGAAAGTGTAATCTCTGGTCTTTCTAAGCACATTTAGCTTTTTATTTTGATAACTGATGAACACATACAGGGCCGCAAAATATTCTTGGAGTGTCAGATGTGCAAATGAGTAGACGCTTTCCTGCAATGATACCGAGTTTTCAAGAAATATTTCTTTGCACACCCCAGTAAATACTGACGGCTGGCTCATATGAATGCCATATTTGATCAGATCCTGCTCATAAAAAATGACATTACTTTTTTCCAGATGTTCAAATGCCAGCCTTCCTAAATTAAGAATGGCATCTCTGTTAGACTCCAGTAAGCTGTAATCTGTCCATCTTCTCTGATCGTCGTATTTCTGATTCTGGAAAGTCAGAACAACTATCAAAAACTTTGTATATATTTCTGCCAAAGTTCTTGGAAGGTAACCGTTGCCATCTCTGGCAAGGGTTTGTTCAAAAACACAGGCTAGCACCCAGCAGAAAGAAGGCACATAGCACATTAGATACAGACTCCTGTGTGCCTTTATGTGTGCCACTATTTCGGCTGCCAAAATTGTGTTTTTGCACTTCTTCCTGAAGTACTCTTCTCTCTCCTTGTCATCGAACCCTTGTATCTCCGTCACCCTATTGATGACATTAGCAGGAATCTGGTTTGCTGCAGAAGACCTGGAGGTTATCCAGATGGATGCCTGAGAAAGTAGGTTCCCCCGAATTATGTTTGTAAGCAAAACATCCATAGAGGCGGCTTTCCTCTCATCTTCCAATGGCGGACATTTATAAAAATCCAACTGATGTCTGCTCTCGTCCAATCCGTCAAAGACAAACAGGAATTTGATCACGCCGTCAGACAAAATATTTTCACACCTTTTCATGTGCGGGTAGTACTGTTGCATGAGCTCGACGAGGCTAATTTCTTTCCTGAGCAGGTTGAGCTCACGGAAAGGAAAGACACATACAAAGTCAAACTCCTGGTTGCTCTCTCCAGAGGCCCAGTCAAAAATGAATTTCTGCACGTAGACAGTTTTACCAATCCCTGCTATCCCCTTTGTCAGTACAGTCCTAACATTTTTCCTTTCACACTCAGATTTGAAAATTTCATTGCGCTTTAAGGAACAGGACGTTTTCCTTTCTAATGTCTCATCGCCACTTCCACTTTCAGTCACCAGAACATCAGTGAACAAGTCTTTGAGAAGGGGCTGTTTCCCGTATTTAGCAATGCAATCAGATACGTGTTCGAATTTGTTTATGAGCGCAGATTTGTGAACGTCTTTCAAATCCTCAAGGAGCTTATCTGAAATTAAGAAATGAAAACATTTATTAATTTAAAAAAACTGTAGAGCAAGCTGAGAAGTAGCAGTACTTTTAAAAGTACGGACAGTACAGTATGATAGTTATTAGCAGAGCTAACAGTTGTAGTACTTGTAAAAGAAGTTTTATATTACTGTTTATTTTTCAAGTTACACATGGGCATTAAAATTTTCTATAACATGTCTAGTTTGACTCTCACTCTGTTGGGTTTTAGAAGGACCCCTAGTGTTAGTTCTCTGCTTTATGACTGCGAGACAACTATGGGGCTGTCATTATTATGTATTTCTACTACTTACAAGTAATACATTTTAGGGTCATATTACATGAACCCTTTCCCAGAAGTATACTATGCAAAGAGGGACTGTACCTTTTCACAATACACCAATCATTACTTAAGTCATTTTACTGTACATATAAAAAATGGAGAACTGATTAAAGTTGTGGGTTCAAATTTCAGGTGAGTTCCTGCTATTGCACCTTGAGCAAAGCTCTTCACCGAAATAGTTCCAGTAAAACCCCCAACTGTATAAATGAGTGTAGATGTACCATAAGTTGCTTTTGATAAAAGTGGCAGCTGTATAGATATAAGTCCAAGCAGAGGACTTGTGCAGAGGTCATTTGTATACAGCTGTTCAATTTAAGAAGCTCAGAAAAATGTTTTCTTTTAGAACCTTAACCTTAAAACATGCACATGGATTCACAGCCTGCATATAATTAATATACAATATATTTATTTTGCCCCTACTACTGTTTCCATTAAATCCTGAATTCATCATTATGTGGCCTGCTTACAGAAACGATAGTTATGTAGCATTAATGCATTCAATAACAATAGAGGCTTCAGTGATTTATTAATCTGAAACCAGACTGGTTATTACCTGAAATCGTCAGTTGTTGTTCATCTGAAAGACAACAAAATGATTGATAAATCTTACATGCTGATACAGTGCCTTCATTTTTGGAAGGAATTGTTCCTGAATTAATGATAATTACAATACGTGTTCAGACATAAATAATATAAAAGGTAACATTCTGCACAGTAAAAAAGTGAATACATAATATGAACAGAATGTCTATTCTGCATGAATCTTTAATTAAACCCAGTTTCATCTGCCCAGAATATAGAGAGACTTTTACCTTAGAACACAGACCTAGGATAGATATTTTTTTACAGAAAGAGGAAACAAACTTGATTCTTGAAGTCATAAAATCAATTAAAAGGTAAAGGATAACCTGACGTCTGTAGGCGTTGTGTTCATAACTATAAAGTTAAGAGTACTGAATTAACCATAAAAAAAGCTAAGACAAACAGTACTATTATCTCTTTTTTGATGCTGGAAAAAATCTAAAAAGGATATATTGTGCTTGTGAGGCATGTAACGTTAAAATATTACCTTTTGAAGTTGAAATGTTAAAAGTAATGTGTCTTTTGGAGACTTCCAAGACATTGAATTACTGTCTTCATATAAATGATATATTGTGTATATACAACTACTACTACTACTACTACTAATTATAATAATAATAATAATAATAATAATAATAATAATCATAATCATAATCATAATGTATAGCTCCTTTTAAAAGTGGCTTCTCAAAGCGCTTTATTGAAAAAAAATATAGTTCTCTTTCATCTAATTAATAATCATAGGGCAGGTGGACACTGTCATACATCATGTAGTTAGGTCAGCACCACTAGGATTTACTCACAAAGCCTAAATACTGTATACTGACATTTCCTAATCCTACCCTAAACCTTAATCTTGCCCCAACCTCTAATCCTACCAGGAAAACTAGCCATTCCAGGACTCAAAGGTTGACATGGTTTATTCTACAACAACCTTCTAAAACTTCTCTCTGCTCTTATTTCTGAATTTCCCCTTTATAATGTTTAATGCCAACAAGTACAATGTAAAACAGACAGAAACATATTGAATTGTGTTCATTTCCCAATAAGATCTAAAGCTTTTTTCTGCAATTATTGGTTCAGAACTACCATCCACAGCAAGCTACTATGCCAATCAGAGCTAAATCATGTGTCTGCCTTTTTTACACATTTTCTCTGTACAGCTCATAATAAGGGGCACGTGGTAGCCTAACTGTGTTGCTGTTTCAGTCTACAAGAGAAATGTCTCATTAACTAAAGTCTTGAAGGATGTAATAATATTCCTCATATGTCCCACCTCAGTGTATGAGCCTGAGATAGAAAGCATGTCAGTTACTATCAGTCAGCCTAAATTTGAAACAATGGAGAAAATAACCGAATTGTTCCTTTGTTTAATTTACTTAACAGAGTTTATAAGAGAAATTACCTGCACTCTCGTTCAGTGTGCTTGCAATATTGATAGTTAAATTAGTGATGCTCTGGCCTTGAACGACTGGCGTGATGACAGTGGCTCCATCCCTGGCATTAGCTGAGGAGTGCAATTCCATAGAAGAACAGCCTTTATCACCTAAAAAACAACAACACGGCACTGCACTGCAAGCATTCACAACAGGAGGAGTATTTGAACAATTCCCAGCTGTCATGAAGGTCATGAAGTGAGAATCGGGCTACAAGTGTGGTAGGTGATGCTGCAGTCTTTGAGAGTACCAAGAGCATGTAGAGCTTTGACTTGGAAGGTGATCGTATAACAAGTCTTAAGTGGTGCAAAAACAGCAATAGAGAATGCAGCAAGGCAGAACTCCATTTCCACTGTGCAGGAGTCATCAAGTAGTTAAGGCATCCTTTATCCCTGCAGCGATCCTGTACTACAAAATGCGTGGCGCACCAAAGAGGAGAAAAATACATGGTATGAAAGCTTTTGTGCTCACAAAAATCACATTTAAAGTAAACACGAAGGCCCAACGAGAGGCAGTTACACATTTAGCAAATGAAAAGCAGGAGTGACCATGAAATGGAAGAGGTGATAAAAAATTAGCACTTGTTTTTACAGGAACAAAAGATAGATTCCCTCGCGTGGGAGAAGGTGGTATGTTTATTATGAATTGCACACCTATAGACATTTATCTAAACATTTCAACTCCGATTGCTATTTGGTATGGCAATAAAGCAAACAGTTGTTTAAAATTCTGAAACTTAATTTTCTTTGTACTTTGCAAATAAATGTTAAGATTAAAAAATATATAGGCTTATTCAAATTTTAAAAATCATCTGAAAACAAAACCACAGCTGTTTACCCATGTTAAAAATTTCTATACTCACCAGATTGCATGGCATCTAAAACAAGTTCTTCAATATAATTTCACTTCCTACAGTATTTGCTTCGGACACATCAAAACCTTAGAAAATACAATAAAAATGTTATTGAGACAATGTAAAAGTGAACTCCATTTTCTTCTCCATTTCCTGTCTTTCCTGCTTGTTAACCGGCTCTCTATTTCTGAGAGGACATTACTTTGGCTTTTAATTTTAATAATGAATGATACATTTCAATATTTTTTATGAGGGACTTTATCTGACACTAAATATATCTCACTGTTGCTTTTTCATTCGTATTCAACGTGAGAGTTGCTAGGGGCCTATGAATAGCATTCATCATTTACATCACTTTAACTCGGAAAATGGCAAATTCATAGTTTTTAGTGGTCTTAAATCCAACAGTTATGCTAAAATTATCCAAAACAGATGAAGCGTATTCTATAAAATTGTTTCACTACTTGCCGGATGGATTTTAGGACCCTTCGCGTAGCTGATCGAAAAGTTAAGGCGGTGTGGAGAAGAAAAGAGAATCCAAGCGTACTGTACGTATCCGAATCGTACATCAAAGGTGAAAACCAACCCTGAGCGTTTTACCCCCACACTATCAAACTGTTAAACTCCCAGCCTCTCTCACTCTCACCTCACCTCTCACCTATGATCTGAACCTCACAGTGCCATCTTCCTTTCTTTCTTACCAAAAACCCAAACACACATTGAAACTCTACCTCTACCATACATGTCAAAAGCTCACTCCCCATAATTTCTATCCCTTTATTTTATTATGTTGATGCATATTTTTGCACATAACCTGTTACCTTTTTGTTGTTTTGCACATTGCCTGTTGTTGTTTTTTGCACATTGCCTGTTGTTGTTTTTTTGCACATCGTCTGTTGTTGTTTTTTGCACACTGCCTGTTGTCTCTGTCTTTCTTTTGCTACACATTTGTATTGTTGTTGTTTTGTTTTTTTTCTCTTTGTACTACTTATGTCCGAGAGCTAGCTAAATAGCATTTTGTTATACCATATACCATGTATATGAGTGTAATGACAATAAACTTGAAACTTGGAGCTTGGAACTTGGATGAAGGCTTAAGTAATCCGGGGAGTGGAGGGTGTGGCGATGGACGGAAGACCTGGTTAGTGGATTGATTGTTACGGCGACGTTTGTTGGAATTGGAAAGCCCTGAAGTCCGATTGGGAACAATGCAGGGTCGTCTGCGAGAGGTTGGGAGTGGCCATAACAAAAATGAGGGGAAGCTCTCAATGTCTTCTAAAACTTGCATGAAATATTATTTTAACATTCTTTTCCTGATCTTCTGTTTTCGCTCATTTATCTCATAACCTATTTTATCTGACTTTTCCAGTTGTTCTAATATTCAGTACTGAATAAAATGCTTTGAATTTACTTTTATACTCTGTAAGAAGGCAGTAGGCAAAGACAAGATGGAGGTGCTTGTCTGAATCACATTCCTCAGAGAGCAATGCATCTGCCACCCTCAGTGACCTGACCAATTGGTGGGATGTCTTTTAAAACAAGGAAGCTAGGATTTCCAGGCTGGCTGTTGAGCTCTGTGTACTGGGAGGCTAGCAGAGCATCTGTGAGCATCTGTGCTGCACCAGAGGAAGAAGGGAGAAATGATTGAAGTGATAGATGTGATTGAAGAGTGTAGTGCAATTTTTGGAGGTTTTTGGAAGAGTTTCAGATTAATCTTGTAGTGAAGACAGTAAGCAGCTTACCTGCTTGTCTGTGTTTATACAGAGGACACTAAAGACAACTAGGATAGAGCTTGGGGAATTTTTGTGGTGTTGGTGGTTTATTTCTTCTCACTGTATAAGCTCTATTTTTCATCTTGCAACTGCCTTTCAGTATCTACAGTACTGTTCTGATATCCACCTAGTATTAAAAGATCCTGTTACACCACACTGCACCTTACTGTCTATCTTCAAATCTTGAATGTTTTAATGTAGTCAGTAAAGTGCACTTTTGTTTCTAATCTCTCCATTAAGCCACTTCACATACTCATTCAATCGAACTTTTTTAGGGATACATGTTTGACTCTTTAACACCAGATCTTTGAAGGGAACCCCACATTTGACTCTGAATCCATCTGCTCCCAGTTTACTGATGGTAAACTGAGCCTCATTCCTTTATACTGTAACCTCCTTTTTCTGAAATTCTAAATTCTTCATTTAACTTTTAAAATATTCATTAAAGGATACCAGATTGTTGTTGCAATGTACAGTGGCTTTATTTTCTGTACCTTATTTATATCCTTGTTGGTTGAAAAAAAACTAGTTTGATAAGTACCTTTGCAAACCAGATTAAAAAGAAATCAATAACCATCTATTAAGCAACCATTGATTTTAGCTTCTGTATTGCCCATCACAATGTCCCAGTTTGTGTAGAAAGTTGTAATTTCCCAGCAAAATGTTTGCTACAGTGCATTTTCCTATACCATACTCGCATATGCCCAATGTTAATCCATTAGAATATCTACTTTTTAGTTTAAGGAGTATAGATTGTAAATTGCCTTTACCCTATTGCTTCTGTTTTCTAGCTAGCAGGTTATTTTGATTGATCAGCTTTACCACAACGTCTGTCTGGCCTGTTTTTGCACATTATCCTCCTCAAGCCATGTTTTGCTTCTGTTATAACTATTATGTTGTAGTTCCTCAATAATGGAGAAACCTCATGCTAGTGAATTCTCTCCATTACCCTTTCTGCCTGTACAGCTCCCATGTAATATCAGCATAGTAATTGTGTTTCTGAAAATTACACTTTACTAACTTGCCTGTTCATTCTAAATAATTATATAATTATAATTATATTATCATATGTAACCATTACAAATGTCTCCATGGTTGTCTCACTTTCTGCTTAGATATCATTGCTCTGGGAATAATGCCAGTTTCACTTCCTCTCTAATCAAATCAAGTATAGAAAAGGGTCAGATTCTCAAAAGAAAGGTTTTGTAAAGCTCAAGACAAAAATATTAGATATGAACAGCATAGACATCTCTAGAGAATGTTGCTTCTAAAGACTGAACAAGATGCTGTACAGTAATCTATAATAGAAAGGAATTTGTAAATATATATATATAAAGTATGTATCAGTACAGTTACTGAGTGTTGTTATCTTCAGGAAGATGCGATGAAGCAGAGGAGATGTGATGGGTAAGGCAGAGGAATACGCACGGGCCCATTTTAAATTGAAATTGAATCGACTGTCTGAAAAGCTTTGGGCATCTAAGAATGTTCTAGAAGCTTCTGGCCTCAGGGAGTGTTCTAGAACACGTGTGTCAGGTTTATACAAAAAAACGCACATGAGGAAGTACTGTAGAGGGGTACAATCCAGTTCATGGTGATAAAATTGCATTGCTACCTTATTTTTAACTTTCAGATCAAGAATTACAATTGTTTTAGTTTAGTAAAACTTTAGATTTACTGATAATAAAGTTTCAAGGTATTATACATAGAATGAAGTGGTAATATTTTCCAATGATTTCAAGCTATTTCAACATATAATCTTCCGAAACACTTCACTATTAATATCTTAGCCTGTCATCTGTTATACAATACCTAATTAACACTTAATCTTAACATCTTTATTTGCATTTAACTAATAATAAAAAATGAATAAGTCACACCAGTGTTAACGTCATTTTAAGCACTAGGAAAAGAAAGGACTGTAATTTCTAAAATTCTTTATCTTCTTCACAGATGCAATTAAAAATTAAATGTTATTGACCCAAGTCTTACCTGTACCGTTAATATAAAAATTCAGACTGTCTGCTTCTCTGACACAGTACAGATGTTCATCCTCCATCAAACTGAGATTTTAATTTTTGCCACTAATATTCCGAATCAAGTCATCTCAAAGATTGGACACATTTCTTTTGTTTTTTCCAAGTGTTGTGTAACCCGGGATGTGGTTCACAGTCATCACAGTTCCCTCTTGTGAAATCTTGTCACTTCCACAATTCAATGCCTGACATGTTGACATGTTTTTCATTATATAATACCCGTATCTTCTGTGGATTTGTTTGAACAGGAAAATTTAAGTTTGTCTCCAATATTATACCCTAATCGGAAGAGTTGTGGATGTAGCCTTAAAAGGCGAATATTAACAAGCAACTGCATGTTCTTACAAAGAGGTATTAACGAGCACGTCTCAATATTTCATAGCTGTGTCCCTTTTTAAAAATCTGAAGAAGTAATCGGTTGACCTGGGTAGTTCATAACTCAACTGCAAAACAACATTGGAAACTCCACCATCTCACACATACAGACCTCAGACGTTACCAACACCAACAGGTACTTTTAATTACTTGATGTAATGAAAACAACGGGTTTGCATTTTGTGCAATTTGAGTCTGGTATGTTTTGCATTTCAATATAGCGCCTCCCTTTTTGGTGTATGAAGCAAATACAAAAGGATCACGACCACCAGATCTTTCATAAGTTGACCCCAGCGTTTAGAGCTTCTGCATCTCCAGCAAAGACCTCTTTGAAAGCTTCATTTGTCGAGAACGTTATAATGATCGTTACACGTGCCAGTGAAACTTGAAAAATATTGTTACAGTTGTGAATATAGATCAAGTGCAATTCACAAGAAGAAGATCGCACCGAAACATTGCACCCGTTGGTTTCATCACATAGAGTAATTAAAAGTACCGAGTGTGTTGGTACTTTTAAGCTTCCTTGTAGACAGTCATGTTACTACGCGAAACGGCAAGGCGCTATATCTCGGTAATGAAAGCAGTACAAATGCTTTCAACGGTACAGACCGACACAAACTCAGCACTAACAGATGCAGTGGGTTTCATCATTAGTGACGCCTGTAGGGAGGACAACTTCACGGAGCTCACAGAATGACTGGACCTGACGGTGAAACTAAAAGAAGCAGAGGAGACTTGGGGCAGATTTCGGGACTCTTCCATCTAAAACGGGTGACTTTTTTAAAGGACGATTGTAGAGGTGGGGGACTGAAACAGTTGGATCCCTGGCACACCAGAACAATTTGTTAGCGGAGCCGTCGTACAGCCAGGCTAAACGAGCAGTATCACACTGAATGGTGGGTTTCGATCCAATGGCATCAGAGGGAGACGGAGTTGCCTTCAAACCCAAGAGTCCCCCGAGGCTGAACCTCCAGAAAGGAGGGGAAATGAGTTGTCTTCACCCCTGAGGAAGAAGACCCCAGACCCCAGACCAGAGGAGGGACCCTCAGAGAAAAGCAGAAGACAACTAACCCCGGAGGAGCCTGCGCACAGAGACACCTGAGTAGAGGGCACTGCAGTCCTGGCCTGAAGTAGACAGAGATGACCCTGCGCTTGCACGGAGGACTATGAAAAAGAGCAATACTGAACCACTGCCTTGGCAAGGGTCTGTTGTTGCCAGTTGTGGAAGAAAAGTCTTAGGAAAAAAAAGGTGGGGCTGCCAGAGGTCCATGCGATGGAGAAAGATATGCCTGACGGCTCCCTAACACAGCAAGAAGTTGAGGGGCTGCCTGTTCAGATCCCCCGGCTTGTGCAGCATCAGAGAAAGAATGGAAGAAAGAAATCAAACCATCCAAAACAACCAACCCAAACCTCCGGGGACTGTGTGAGTTTTAGGAAGAGATTTTTGGAAAAAATGAGCAGCCTAACTGCAAATCTAGCGAATAGACTCTTGTGGAAGAGTAGGTGGAGCTCAGAGAGGTGCTGAAGTTTTGTTTGGTGTTTTTTTTGTTGTTTTCCTTCACAACACTTAAATTAAAGAGCCCTGTTTGTCTTACATGTGCATTTTTCAGTTCACTTCAGACTTCTTTTCCTTGTTTGCGTTACATGATTTGCTTTTTAATCTTACGTGTTTGATTTTTTTTTCACCGTATGTAATTTGCTATGGGCTCGCTGTATCTTTTGCGACCAACAAGAAAATCATGTAAATATAGTGGGACTGTGCACGCGTAGCCTAATTGGCTATCGTTGTTGTCAGACGCTCTTAGAGCTATCTAGCGCTAGGTTTTTGGTTTATTAGCCAACATGGCGAAACAAATGAATACAGTATATCTACGTTTTTCAAAAAGCCGCGTGTAGATGGCCAGACCAGTCCTGAAACAAATAAGACACATGAGATGCTACAGGCATCTTGGGTTTTAAGGAGTACAGCCTGGCTTCCCGAATGCAAGTGTTTCCGGAACGCAAGGGGCAGTGCACGCGTTTGCTTGTAGCAGCTCGATACGTGCTCGACCTGCAGGAGTTTAGCAAGAAGAGGTTCTAAACTTTCTCCTGTAAACACATTACAAGTTTTAGAATGCGCGAATAAGATTACGATAGTGTAGGCTGTTCGAGCCGGCTTACCAGCGCGGTGACGTCGCCGCCCTTCTCTGTGAATTGTGACGCCGGAGGCCTGGGTTCGAATCCCCAGCGGTGGGGGGCCGGCCTGAGGTGGCAGCGGCTAGGGCGCATATACCCACGTCAACCCGAGAGTGCTACAATAGTATTGACAGATGCGAGTGTGTTTTTTACAGGTAACTATTCATATCGCCTCTAAATGCCCTGCAATATTTTTAAGCGAAGGGCGTTTACAGAGCTAAAATACATCCAAACTATGTATTTGACGCTTTTATTAGCAGACCATTCTTGCAATTAAAGGTACTATGAGCACTGTAATGCGACTATACCGATTCAGTGTTAAGTCTTGTGGGAAGTAAGTCACGGATTTCCAAAGTAGTTGTCTTTTGGCATCGAAAATAGTATACTAATTTCGTGGGTTTCATACAAGTTTAAAAGCATCGTGAGGGACCAAACAAGATCTTTAGAACTTAATATTTTAATACCTTCGCAGTTTTTATTCTCATGGCGCTTCACTCGATATTACCCTTGGGGCGATGCGTTTACTCCAACCTCTGAAACCCATACGTGCGTGCACGTTCTTCTGGTATGTCTAGTCTGCTGAATATTTCAAGGCAAATTCAAGCCTGCATGGTATTTTAAATGCAATATTTCGGACGGATTTTGAATCTTGAGTTTTGCGTTGTGTTCATTGTGTTTTGCAATAAAATATTAACTTCAGAGTAACTCGTAAAACTACTGAACAATATAAAAGCAGGCATACGAAATACATAGAACTGTTACAAGCAACAAATGAAAATGAGCTCTTGCAGCTTTTCTTTAGCTAAAGACAAAGTCCTTATCTGAGAGACCTTTGCAAACTAGCTGTCATTTGAACGGGACTTTGCAGACTCTTTAGACATTGACGAGAATATCGACATATTCGACATATTCAATTCTAAGGCCAAAACCTCACAACAGAGGTAGGGACTGATTTTTTTTTGTGTGTGTCCGCTGTGGCACAGTAGTGTTGGCAGCCTAGGTAATTGTTCCTTACCTGTGTGTGTGTGTGTGAGAGAGTGAGAGTGAGTATATTGTATATAAGAGCCCAGACCACCCACTTTTGCACAGGCCCACCCAAAAATTAATTCCTGGCTAAACCCCTGGGACCGTCTTTCAGGAGAGAAGTAAAACCGAGGTCCTGACTCTCTGTGGTCATTAAAAATCAAAGGGTGATTCTTGAAAGGAGTAGGGTGTAACCCCGGCATCCTGACCAAATTTCCCATTGGCCCTTACCAATCATGGCCTGCTAATAAACCCCATCTATGAATTGGCTTCATTGCTCTCCTCCCCACTGAGAGCTGATGTGTGGGGAGCGTACTGGCACACTATGGCTGCCGTTGCATCATCCAGGTGGGGCTGCATATAGGTGGTGGTGGTGGGGAGTCCCAATGAGCTGTAAAGCGCTTTGAGTGGAGTGTCCTGAAAAGCACTATATAAGTGTAAGCAATTATTGTTATTCATTATTATTAACAAATAGCGTGTATGACCATTCTGTTAAAAAATCTCTTTTGTGCACCTGAACAAACTACACAAGATAAAGAATATTTTCCAAAATGAAGTTCAAAATCAAGTTCTTATGTTCAAATTTAAATCCAAACCCCCAGTAAAACATCTATCCATCCTTCCAATTATTTTCTAATTCTTTCCTCCAATTAAGGGTCTTGGGAGCTGGAGCCTATCCTGGCAAGCGACAGGCACAAGGCAGGATACACCCTGGATGGGACGCCAGTCCATCACAGGGCTCACACAGACACAAACACACACACCCACACTTAGGTTCAGGCCAATGAACCTACAGTACCAGTCTGTCTATGGACAATGGGAAGAAACCGATGCAAACAGGGGGAAACCAGTCAACAGTAAGCCAATTAAACAACACTAAACTATGTATACAGCACATGTGCAAAAGTGTACATATATTTGTCAGCATGTGATGAATATCATATAACAGACTTGTAGATGGACTGTTAGGCTATTGCTTGCATTAGATGAACTGGCTGTTTAACAGGGATGAGACTGTGAAGAAAGGAAAACTCCCACCTGGGACAGACAATACATCCTCCACATCAGACAAGAAGATAATTAGTTCTATTCCAGGATGGACAAGAGGTCATTTTGAGGCTCATTTTTGTTCTGTTTCTGTCAATCAATCTTTATTTATGTGGAAGTGTGTTTGTCTGTTTATTTCCGTTAAGTCTGTGTTTATTTACATCATCCTATCATGTTTAAAGCCTGTTCCCAAGTCCCAGAGTCCCATACTGTATAATTCCTCTTTGACAAAGGGAGAAACAGGGATAGGATGCGCAAAGACTGACAGGGAAAAACCTGCACAATCTCTCCCCCTTTGTTTATGGTTCCCAAGCTGGAACTTTTCAACCTTTGTTATATTCTGTGACATTGCTGATCCTGTACAATTCCACTAAATCCTTCCATAAAATCTTGGCCTGGTTCTGTCTCCAAGTTGTCGGTCACTTTACTGTACCTGTAAGATGATAAGCTCTTAATGG